TATTGGAAAAAATTGTGTTGGAGCAGTTAAATGATTTTTTAAAGAGGAATAATATCTTAGATAGATTCCAGTCTGGTTTTAGAGCCGGCCACAGTACAGAGTCTGCTCTTTTGAGGGTCTCCAATGATATCTTAAGAGGTGTTGACTCTGGGAGTTGTGTTGTTCTAATTTTGTTAGATCTTACTGCTGCATTCGATACAGTTGATCACGATATACTTATTGCTCGTCTCAAGAATCATGTTGGTGTTCAGGGCTTAGCCTTAAAATGGTTCTCTTCTTATCTGAAGGATAGGACTTTTTCAGTCAGTTTAGGTGATTACTCTTCTTCTACTGCTCCTCTTGTCTGTGGGGTTCCTCAGGGCTCTGTTCTGGGACCAATTTTATTTTCTCTGTATATATTGCCATTGAGTTTTATTTTTGAAAAGTTTGGGATTCATTATCACTTGTATGCGGATGATTCACAAATTTACTTACCATCGAAACAGGACCATAAATGTGCTTTGCAGTATCTGCATCAATGTCTGACAGAGAGAATTCATTTCAAAGCGTTGCTGTAAGTTTTTAAGGCTGTGCATGGTCTATCACCTGACTATGTTACTGATTTAATTAGTGTCTGTCAATCCAGCAGATCTCTGCGCTCAAATTATCAACTACTCCTAATGGTTCCGCGATCTCGTCTAAAATGTAGAGGGGATCGTGCTTTCTCTGTGGCAGCTCCTAGGCTCTGGAATGCCCTTCCTCTGTCTATTAGAACTTCTCAAACTTTGGGTGTTTTTCAGAGTTCGCTTAAAACTCATTTGTTTTCTCTAGCTTTTGAAAATGTTTTTTAGCTGTGTATGATATTTGTTGTTACTATTATTATTTATTTATTTTTCTTTTTTCTTTTATTTTACTGTTATTATTTTTCATTTGTTTTTATATTATTATTATTATTCAGGGTTTTTTTCTCTTATCTTTCTCTGTACAGCACTTTGGTTCCAGTAATGGAAAGTGAATGAAAGTGCTTTATAAATAAAGTTTGAGTTGAGTTGAGTTGAGTTGAGTTGAGGTAAAGTAAGAAAAAAAAAACATTTGCAAAAAAATAAGCATTTCTCAGAAGAAGGGACTCTGCGTTTTTGCTGGGACGAATGTTTTTATTTTATAATGGGCTGTTTTAGAGGAAGCTTAGCTAATATACAAGTAAAACATCAAATACTTTAAACTATTTATTTATTCTGTAAATATCCGGTTATTTTACCAAATAAATATATAACAAGGGGTTTATCGCAAAATCAATCTCTTCAGGAGAGGCAAATCTGAATCCTGTCAGGACCACCAGGGGGCGTCAATAAACTTCAACTTTTACCTCAGCCGTTCATTCCTGTAAAACGACTCGTAATACACGGATAATGGTTTATTTCAACTGTTATTGATGAGAAATGCTTCATAAAACAAAGTCTATATTTAATGTTGAAAATGCCTGTACCTAGCCGGCTGTTGACCAGCCTTCAACGTTGAAATGTGGTTAATAATGTCAATAATTGTTTTTCAGGCTGTTTCATGGTAAATTAATGTAAAAAGGTTACAAAATCAGTGTTGAAGTTTAATTCACCCATGTTGAAACAACATTGCAATATCAACATAGACAAGATTTGCAAAATAAAAACAAAATTTTGCAGTGATTCATTCAGCCTTGATCCATGCTGTTGATTCATCCGTGAAAAACTGTGCCAGTACAGAGCAAGTTCATCCAGCTTGTCCAGATAACTTGAATGTGCAAAAAAAAAATAAAAGTAACAATTTATATCATAATGAACATAAAAACAAGTTCGTATGGAAGCAGAAACTGCAATGAGCCAATGACCCTTGCAAAGACGCTGAGGTGAGAACACCCTTAAATCTTTTTTTTCCCCTTCAATGTCAGTGCAAAATGTGTTTTGAAAATGTAACAAAGGAAATCAAGAAATTAATCTTGTTTGTTTACTACAGCACTAAACTTGGTTTTCTTGAAAATCAGATCAGAAACACAATAGGTCTACAGCCTCTCCTACACTCCTCTTTCTACAACACACACATACACACTCTTGCTGACACTTGTAGTGACTTGTTTGAGATTGAGGAGCTTCTAAAAGCATGTTTTTTCTCTTCAGTAGAAGAATGTCTTTGACTTCACACTGCAGGATCTGAGCAGTTCAATGCTCTCTCACACAAAGCAGAAGACACCATGAGATCCATTCACTGCAGAGCCACGACTCTCAACACACTCTGCTGCCTTTGAGACTTAGACCACTTTTTGATCTGTTTTGCACTGGAGGGCTGGACGTGT